TTCAACTTTGATAAATTACTACTAATAATATGATTTTTTTGTATTTTACACCCCCTAATTTTATGTTTTTGTACTCGTTGATTTTTTAATATTTTTTCTTTTACTTTTATAATTTTAACTTTACCAAACCACTAAGCTCAAGCCCAAACTCAAACCTAAACCAATTTAAAATTCTTTTAGATGAAGTATGCTAAAAGTTGAGATTTATTAAAAATAATAATTCTTTATTCTTACCTTTTTGCCTTCCTTCTTCAACACGTTTGTAAACTTCCCCTAAATCCTTATTAGCCTAGCCTATGGTAAAGTTCTATATAGACAGTGTCAAGGCTTCCCATTTCTTCTATTCATTGAATCATTTTCTTTTACTTTGAACATCTAAAATAGAGGTTGCATACTATAGCTCTTCATATTTTTACTTCAAATTAAAGTCAAGCCAAGGTAAGTTGGATTGCTCCTCTGCCACTATTCAATAACAATTTGCTTCTATGATTTTTTTTTTAAATGTTTGCTTAACAGAATCATTTAATTTAAACTGTTAATTTCATATTAAAAAAATAACAATTGAAGTCTTAAAATATAGTTAATTATTATGTTAATCCTTAGTGTGACTATATGACCAATTTTCAGCATTACCTCACTTTTAGTTTTTCTTTCTTTCCTAATTTTGGATGGTTGAAAATTGACAAAAATGCATTTGAATATTGTGATTGATCATATCCATTTTATTTTTAAATTAGACACAATTATCATCCTTAAAAGTAATTTATTTTATACTTGTAGTTGTATTATTTTTTACAATATTTTATTTAGGGCATTGTTTATACATTTTAAGAATCACATTAAATTTATTTATTTTTATACTATTGTTGAATTTAGATTAGTTTGTTTCTTCATTATTTCAAATAGGTCATGAAAATTATTTTAAGAGAAAATTACCTTCAAATGAGCAACAATCTTCATCAAACCCTAAAGAATCAAGTTCTCAACCACAACAAATTGAGCTCAATTTAGAAGACTTGCCATCGGATCCAGGAAAGCACATAAAAATTTCGACCTATCATCCTAATGATCATGATAAGATACGAAGAGCATATTTGCAAAGAGGACCTTGCCAACCTACTTAACATAATTTCTTCGAAGAAAATTTGGGAGTTCTTTAAGAAGATTTTCTCCATCTTGGTTTAATGAATTTGATAACTGGCTAGAGTACAATATTGAAAAAGATGCATTATTTTGTTTATGTTGGTTATTTTTTCAGGCCTGATTTTGGAAAGCAATCTGGTGGGGACACATTTGTCACAAGGGGGTTTACAAGTTGGAATAAGGAAAAAGTGCTCTCATCTCATGTTGGAGGTCCTAATAGTGCTCATAATATTGCTTGGAAGAAGTGTCAAGATTTGATGAATCAAAATCAATATATTGAAGTTTAAATTTCTAAGTAATTTGAACAAGTTTGTGACTTATACCGAAGGCGTTTGACTGCAATTGACTGCATTCGATTTCTATTCAAGTAAGGATTAGCATTTTGTGGCCATGATAAGTCAATAAATTTTGTTAACCAAGGTAATTTCCTTGAACTTCTCAAGTTTCTTGCAGATCACAACAAATCAATAAATCATGTTGTCTTGAAAAATGCACTTGAAAATCATCAATTAATTACTCCACTAATCCAAAAGGATATAGTTAATGTTGCTGCATTGGAAACCACTAATGTTAGTATTAATGATCTTGGAGAAGAACTATTTGTTATTATTGTTGATGAAGCTCGTGATATATCAAATAAAGAACAAATGGTTGTTGCTTTGCAATATGTTAATAAAAGTGGAAGTATTGTTATGCGCTTTGTTGGCATGGTACATGTTAAGGATACTATTGTCTTATCACTGAAAAATGGCAATTAATGAATTGTTTTGCAAATATGGGCTTAGTGTGTTAAGAATTCGTGCACAAGGGTATGATCTTAATAGTTTAGTCTTAAAGGAGAATTCATCTGCATTTTATGTATATTATTTTGCTCATTAATTACAACTTACACTAGTTGTCATCGCAAAAAATCACATTCAAGTTGCCTCTTTTTTTAATTTAGTGTCTAATTTATAAATATTGTTGGAGGATCTTGCAAAGGACATGACATGCTTCGTGACAAACAAATAGCCAACGTAAGAAAGGCATTGGGAAAAGGAGAATTTTCTATTGGACAAGATTTGAATCAAGAAACTAGTGTCAAACTCGATAGGGTTCAAATTATGGAACTTTGATAAATTTGATTTTGATGTATTTTTCAATCATTGATGTTCTTGAAATTATAAAAGAAGATGGATCAAATGCATATCAAAGAGCCAAAGCCAATGGTCTTTCATATTTGACAGAAGATTTTGATTTTTCATTCACGTTACATTTGATAAAAAAAAACTTCGGTATTTCAAGTGCACTATCACAAGCATTACAAAGAAAATATCAAGACATAATCAATGCTATGAATTTGATTAACATCACAAAGGAACAATTATAGATTATGAGGGATAGTGAATTTGATTCTTTATTGAAGGAAGTAATCTCATTTTGTAATATGCATACTATTCATATTCTTAATATGGAAGATACCTTTTTTTTCCATGACGCAAAGCTCAAGTTGTCCTAATAAAGCATCACTATCGAGATGAATTATTCTATACTGTTGTAAACATGCAACTTCAAGAATTTAATGATCGTTTCACAGAGGTAAATACTCAGTTGCTCCTTTGTATGGCGTGTTTAAATCTAGCTAATGACTTCTCTGCTTTTGATAAAAGAAGACTAATTAACTTTGCCAAGTTTTATCCAAGTAAGTTTTCTTCAATTGATTTAGTGATGCTTGATAATCAACTTGAGACTTTCATTATTGATATGCGTAATAGGGTCAATTTTGCATCCTTGAAAGGAATCACCAGTTTTTCAGAGAAGTTGATTGAAACCAGAAAACATATTATTCATTTACTTATTTATCTTCTTTTAAAGTTAGCAATAATTTTGAAACTAGAAAACATATTGTTTATTTACTTATTTATTTTCTTTTAAAGTTAGCAATAATTTTATCGATAGCCACAACAGTTGTAGAAAGGGTCTTTTCTGCTATGAAAATTATGATTGCGCAATCGAATGAAAGAAGCTTAGATGAATTATTGTCTAATAACTTATATTGAGAAAGATATATTCAATAGCATTGATAATGATCTAATCATTCAACAATTCTAAAACATGAAATCACCCAGAGTAATTGTACAATATGCAATTTTTCTTTTTCTATCTATTATCAATATTAGAATTTTAATATTGATACAATTATTTTTATATGATGATGATATTGATTCGCTGCTAAGTATAAAAATAGGTCTAATTAGATGAGTTATCTTGTTTAACTCACTTAAAATAACAAGATTGACTTAGAATTTTATGTATATTGACGTCTTAATTACTACTCCTCAAATTTATATATATATATATATATATATATATATATATATTTTAAAAATAAATTTAAATATAACTATTAATAAATTTTATACAATTATTAATAAAAATATTATTCTAATAATTATTATAAATTTTTGCCTATTTTATATTAAATTTAAGCATATTGGCTTTTCAACTTACTTTTTATTTATTTTTTATTATTAATTTGGTAGGCTAATTCGCTAACTTGTCAGTCAATCCACTCAGGTTAGACTAACCAATTCACTTTTATGCGAATTTTCTCCTACCCTCAATTACGTGCTAAGAACACTCTTTTGAGTTATTTTAAAATACGTCAAAGTAGTATTACTTTTAAAAATTTATTTTAAAAATTTTAAAATAAATCGATCCTAAATAGTGCGTTAAAGAATAAAATTAAAAAAAAAATATGTTGCTAATATTTACTTGTTACAAATACAATTTATTAATGTAATTATATGTAAGTCAAAATTTATCTACTTTTTTTAGAATTTGAAGTCCTATTCTTGGAGAAAACTAGAAAGGCCACAGGAAAACCCTATATTCCTACTATCAAGTAGCAAGCAAGGGTTCCATTATCTGGGTGAAGGGTAGTGTAGTTGGAAGATGAGGAGTGGACCTAACAGCGAAAGGAAATATGCGGTACTGAAGCGGTTATAACAACTTATTCTCGTGCAATTGGACTTTGAAAAGTGTAGTGTTTGGCTTAAGAGGAGAAACATGACAGAAAAAGCCGTGCGATTCTGATAAAAGAAAAAAGCATAAAAAGTATGCATGCTGTGCTCAGATGCAGCGACGTGGTGCAATCAGCAACTTCATGGCATATTGGAATGTCAAGTAAATAAAGCCATATCTTTCTTTCGACCACCCATGACCGTGACCCCGTCCAACCAAACACACACACACTCTGTTTCAGCCATCTGTCCCCACCCATCACATCCTATCTTATTTACGCTATAGTTCAAACAGATCATGATCAAATTAATTAAATTAAAATACAAAGAGAAGACAATCATTATTTTAAAAAACATAAAAAACTCTATTAATACTTCCACGATCATCTTCAACTCCAAAATAACTTAATTATTTACTTTATCTCCCACCCCCATCTTCAAGACTAGGGACGATCCGTTACTTAACCCTTTCCAATTTTATAAACAAGCATAATTAAGGAGCCGAGAAAGATATAAGATCTGATACACACATAAATATAATAAGCTACAGAATAACATAAAAGGCTTAGTAGTGGAATTTAGGGAATTACATCACACGATAATGGCCAAAGACTCGTAGTCGTAGAGTAATATTCATAATTTCATTTACATATTCACGCAGAGTAACTCACCTTTCCATGTTCAAATTAAGATCCAAAAGCCGTAACGTTCCGATCTCACCAAAAGACATGCATTAATTTACACTTTACAGATAAAGCTAGCTAGCCCTCGGATATATAGATATATTCACACTTCTCCATAGTCTAAATTAGGTGTAACTAGGACGGAAAGAAACGGCATCGTTTTGACAGGCGGTTACAAAGCTAAGGCTAAGCTCAAGCTAAGAGCAGCCTTAACGTCTAATCTCCATGCAAACCCACCATTGTCCATTCTCCACACATCACATGGCACTGTTCTCTCTTTCACACACGCGTACTGCACCCTTACCCTGCACGTGAACCCGCGGAACTGATACGGTACGCTCACCTTCATTGTCAACCATACTCCTCCCTCACCCACCGATTCCTTGTACGCCCCATTCGTCCACGTCACCCTCCCGTACCCGTCTGATATGAACGAGGGGCACGTGTCCTCTCCCAGCCTCACCTTCCTCTCCTCGTCTCTATTCCCCAACCCCTCCCCCTCCTCCTGCCACGTTTCCGTCACGGACTCCACCATCACCACCGACCCTCCTGATGCCACCGCCGGCAGGCACCACCGTCGATCCACCTCCGAAGGATCATCGGCGTGGTTCTCGAAGCTCAGCCACACCGGCACGTTCTTGCTCCTTTCTTCGGCGGGAGCCTTCGGATCCGGAGTCTCCGGCAGCAGCGGGAGAGTTACCACCGGCGGAGGCGCTGTTCTTCTCCGCCGGATCCCTCGACTGCACCGTTTGCCGGTGCCGTTATCTTTCACGTGTTTTCTTTTGGCTCCACCGGATCTGGAGAACGCGTCGCCGCTCTCGGACGAGGACGCATCGGAAAAAGCGCCGGCTGGAAGGGGTTTGGGGGCGATGGGGCGAAACCTTAACATTATCGTGTCAACCTTGGACATGTCGTATGCAGCAGCTGGATTTGCACACCTTGTTATACAACACCCTCCTTTAGCTTCCATTTGGATGGGTTTAGAAAGTGAGAGTAAGTGGTTGCAGAAAGAAGCAAAGGCACAGAGTGGAGGGGCAAGAGAAGATGGAGGTTGAGTTTATAGGAACTGTGGGAGAGACACGTGCGGAGGGGATACACGTGCGAGGGGGTGGAGACGTGGCTTGAGGCACGTAGCAGTAAGTAATGTAATGTGTTGGGTGACGGAGTGGGGTGCATGGACCACGTGTGCCAATAGGAATTTGAAGTGAGGCGGGGAAAAGGGCTTTCCCAGTTTCCATTATTAGAATCATCAGATGCGCGCCAAGTGGACGACTTGATTACCATACTCTTCTTCCTTTCAATTTTGGTGACGTCACAGTAGATATCACCACACTAACTAACATTTTTCATGTTCACATTTTACTGGATTGCTTTTGGATGAATGTCGCTATATTAATATGGAGAAAATTTTATTCTGTTCTGCAAGTAATTTGACGGTGATAAAATTTTATTAAAAATATTATATAAAAATATAATAAATATTATATTATTAAATAAATTAAAATTAATAAAATCATTAATATGATAGTTGCTGGAATTAAATGATTTGGTTTCACAATTTTTGTAGAACATGAACGTTGATTAATTGGCGTTTGTAGTTTGAAGCATGTTTTATTATTTCATATGCTTGTATACTCTTAAATTGAATAAATTAATTCTAATAAATGTAATTTTGAGGAGTTAAATATAATTGACTTATGTCTTATGTATATAAATAAATTTGAATGATATAATTTTAGTAAAATATATATTTTCTATTGAAAAATGCAAGAATTATTTTTTTATATTATCTATGACTTATGGTTATTATGTTTAATGTTGATTTTTCTTTTTTTCATATCATTACAAGTAATTTAAATGACATTTATAGTAATAATTTATATCATAATTTCTATCATAAATTACAATTGTATGATAACTAGATTAATATAAAAGATAAATATTAAGTTGAGGCTAGCATAAATTAGTAAAATAAGTAACTTATAAGTGAGTAATATTTTTAAACTATTAGATGTAATTTAAAATTGATAAACGATTTAGATCTTTTACCTATAACTTCATAATATAAGTTTATATATATTTATTATTTAATCTTTTATAAAAAAATTTAAAATTTTTCTTTGAATATTCAAAACCTTTTATTTTATAACTTCAAAATCTATCACTGTCTTTTGTCTTCAAAACTTTGTATGTTATGTTTTTCTCTCTTTACCTTTGTGTATCCTAAATTTTTTAACCCTATTTTAAAAAAATATGCATTCGGATGCGCATTCAAATGCAATTTGAATACATAATAAAAAATAACTTTTGAATCAATAGAATATTGAATATTATGTTAGATCTTTAAAGTTTCTCATAAACCCTATTTTTGAAGTTAATGATTTTTAGAATTAAAACTTTTACATCTACTCTTACCGTCTTAATTTATCATGAAAATGATGTTTTGTATTGATACATTATTTAATTTTCTTTTAGATCTTTTGCATGTTTCCCTTGTATAATGGTCATTTTTGCATCGTACAAATTCTATAACATTCACATAAATTAAGTTTTTTTTGCTTAAGCAAAAATTATAAAAAAAAAAATTCATTGGAAGTAATTTGCTTAAGCAGAACATAATCCGCTTAAGCCATGAAATACATCACAATAATGACTTAAGCAATGAATATTAACTTAAGCGATTGTATTTTAGATTCATATATGTCTTTGATTTGTTTAATCGCATAAATTGTAGCTTAAGCTAATTTTGACAAAAATATTATATTCATCTTTTTCTTTGATTCGCTTAAGCGAATGTGTGTTAGCTTAAGCAAATTTGACGAAAAATTTAAATTCATCTCTATCTAAATTTAGCTTAAGCAAATAACCTTGCCTTAAGCAAAAATTATAGTAGAGTGAATTCTTTGTGTTTTTTTTTTTCAACAAAATATCTTTAGTCATTACCCATATTTTGATTAAACCAAAATGATAATTTTTAAGATAATTGGAATGAGTATATGATGTTTTCAAATAGGAAACTCTTACATTTGAAAGTATAACAATCCAAAGAAAAAATGGGTATGTAGGTTTAAGGTTTAGGATAGATGTGAGAAACGAGTTTGCATACTATTAAGGAAGGGAAAAAAGAAGGAGTTGAAATAGAAAAATAGAAATTAAACAAAGTTTCAATCAGAATATTCTAAAAGAGGATTACATGACTTTATTAGATCTTTTGTCTTGAATTTTTCTTTTCAAACTTTTATCAAGTAAATTTTAACCGCAGTCACTCAATTTATTGTTAAACTTTACATTAGAGACATAAATCAAAATCGTAAACGTCTTTAAAAACAAAGATGAGAGTGAATTTGAGAGAATATAATATTATTTCACTTAAATAAATAATTGTGTTCTTTCTTAATCTTAAAAAGAATTATGTTAAAAAATAACCTATTTTAAATATTTAAGAAATTGAGATTATTTATCTGCAAAATTTAATAAAATAAAATTTGAATTTTTAAAATTTGTTATAGCAAGTTATTTTGCTAATTATTTATGAGTCACTTACTTTACTAAGTCAGGGTAGCCTTCATCTAAATATTCCTTATAATACTAATTTTTTTCTCATAATATTTTGCTATCTTGATAATATTTTTTTTTTGAGTATGATCATGAAAAAAACTTAAGTCATGTGAAATACAAGTATTTATTTATAAATTTATAATTATTTTTTTTATTATAAAGAGACTTTATTAAATATTTATAAGAGAAATATTTTGTCACATGAAATTTAAAAATAAGAGAATCCACTCTTAACTTAGATACAAATATCATATTATAAATAAAAAGGCAAAGCCACCTTGGATTAATTAAGGGGGACCAATGTCCCCGCTCCTCCTTCAAAACTTTAAGATTTTATTTATTTATTTATTTTACATATAATAAAAATTGTGACCATTTAATATTTTGATTTCCCTCTTATTTAAATAAATATGAATATAGCTACCAGTAAAAAAAATCATATGAATATATAGGTTATGATGTTTGGACTTAACTCTTTAATAATCAAATTAGCAAGCTTAAAAGTTCAGTTCATTAGGCTTGTTTTTACTTTGACTCACATTTATTCTTATTTAGACATGGTAAAAACATCATAAATCGTAAGTATAAAATGGATTCAAATTAATCAAAATTACATTAATTTTCTATTCTTTTAAGCTATACAGATAAAACACTTTCATGTTAAATTCAAGTCGTTGATAAAAAATTCTGTTCAGTTTTGCTTGAAAAAAACATTTAAGTTTGATTTATATTTGAATTTTGAAAAATAAAAAAATTAATGAGCCTTCTTTTAATGTTTAAAATTAGTAACAATTTAAATAGTTCAAGCAATGGTTTTCTAATTTCTTACTTTGGTTAAAAAGACGAAATATTTGTTTAGGAAACAAGTTAGCTAGCTCATTACATTTTGGTAATGCTAATTAATGTTATTAGAGCTGGTTGATAAATTTAAAATAAAAATAAAAATAAAATTAAATAATGATATTAATGTACTTATTTATGAAGTTCAAAATAATTTTTAACTATTTATTTTTATTTTATTTTTTATAATTAGTACCTTTAAAATGTTGTTAATATTTTTAAAAAAATTAATTTTTATATTTAGCCGACCAAAAGAAGTTCTAGCTCTACGCTGTAAGCAATAACACGGATATAATTTTCTAACCAAAATTGACATGTCATCTCAGCAATAAGGGGTTACCAAAATAAAATAGATCCTGATAGGAGAATATCAGTAATAGTATTGTTTGTAAGTTAAATTGCTTCTTCCCTTTGTTCTCCTATTTATCTATTATGTTTTATAATTAATTTAATAAATTACTCATTCGATTTGAAAAATATAAATACGAAAAAATTTAAAATTATTAATATTAAAAAATCCAACTATTATTCAAAACATCATAAAAAATAGTTTAGCATATTTCAGTCAAAATACTGTCGCCGTTAATTTTTTTCATAAACATTAAATTATAATTGTATATTTTTTACAACAATATCTTTTATTAAGTTGTAAAAAAAAATTAGATTTAAATGTTATGCTTGTGAAAATTTAAAATATTTATTTTTTCTGTGAAGAATATTTATGTCATTTAATTAAATATAGTTTGATTTATTTTGTATATTTTAGATTTATTAAATAATTAAATGAGTTGAAAAGTAATATTTTGAGACTCTGTCGATTAAGAGTAAGTAGTTAATTTTATTCTAATTATATTTATTGTTTGTAAAATTATCTCATACATTAAAAGTAGATGTATCAATTTGGACTTGTCCTTTCAAGTTAACTTGTTTAGTCCCTGAAAAATATTAGGCTGCCTAATTTGTTTTGCATCCTTTACCTCATTTAGCCTGCCATGTTTTGTCTTGTAAAAAAAAGGTCAATGACACGTCAAAGTGAGCTAGCCTATCAGTCATATTTTTATAATTTAGAAATAAAATAAAATAATTTATTAATTAAATATTAATTTATATTAATATGAAACTATTACTAAATATTTTTAAAAATTATTAATTTTTAAAATTTTTATGTCAATTTTAGATAGACTTATTTATTAATTCATTGACTTACTAATCTTTTTTATTTTTTATTTTAACAATTTTAACATCTGATAGATTGACTACTAATCTATTAGCCCATGGTTAAATAAGACAATTAAAAAATCTAGCACACTTTTAAAAATGATGTGGGATGAGATGATTCATTTTCTTTTAACTTTTGGGATGCAAGCCAGATCAAGCTAGTCAACTTTGCAACCTTTAATCAAAAGTGATATTAGCAATAGAGTTTAGGAGTCCTCCATACTTGTAAATTAAAAAAAAAGTACAAGTTTTAAATTAGTCCCTTAGATAGTAGCAACTATGTATATTAGTCTC